AAATGCAGGGAATCCTTAAAGGTACTCTCAAAGCTCCACAATCAAGACAAATACAACTGACACAGTAAACAGAGACACACATTAGACAGGCCAAGCTAATCAACTCAACCCTATATTAAACCTTTTTTGTATTTACAATGGGTACGCAAATGAAGAAAAAAACAAGCAGTGATTTTACCTTCTAGGCCAGTGTTTTTCAAACTTGCTAACTTTTAAGATATGTGGATTTCAACTTCCAGAATTTCTAGCGAGCATGGATACAAACTGCACTGTTCTAAGTGATGAATGGGAGAACAACAGCCAGCTCTAGAACTTAAATGCCTGGCTACTTCGCTCCAAAACTCTGTCTCTGGGCCACTTCCACCCAGTCTAATCCCATAACACAAGGGCCTAACTACCTGCTGTATCACCCAGAGAGGAAAATTTAATAAAGCATTCCAACTGCAAGAGATAAAAAAAACATTCAATCCTATCATCAAAACAACAGAGACAACTATTCCTTTTCAAACAGCTTTGTTGTATTTCATGCTTGGACATGAAACAAGCCTGCATTATTTTTAAATGTGTTTTGTTTCAAGCATGAATCATTTTGAACTTGGATCATTTCAGGTTTGAACCATTTTGCATATCCTAATTTATATTTTTGAATTCTTCTTTCAAAAAATGTCACTTAATTCATTGCCCTTGCTATTATAATAGTACCAAATTTCTTTCTTGCATTATCATTCAGATTATGAAACTGCTGACTATTGCAATTTGAAAATGAAAACCAAGACAGATGACAGAAACGGTAATTTTTAACTTGCATGGATCAAAAGCATTCCCTGTGTGTGTGTGTGTATGTATGTTTAAGTTGTTTATTTGTTTGATTAAAACAATGAAAACAGTAAAAAGTATTAGAACTGTAAAAAGACATTAAAACGTCTAATTTGAGGTGGATACTAAAGCAAAATATCTGGCCTGTTAACAATATAGCTAGGAGGCATGTGTGCCCAGGCTCAGCGGCTTGGGCAGGTTTTTAGAATTTTACGGAAGGCTAACAGGGTTGGGGAGTGGTCTATGGATGACCAATTGCGTACATTTGGGCCAGTGAAACTAGCCAATCATTATAGTAACCTTAGTAGCACTGCCTACCTAAACGGGAGCTTCCTAAAAAAGATAATGAAAAAGTCTACATCAGAGCAAGAGAGCTCCTTGCTGTTTCAACTGCTAGTTTACATACAGTACAGTCAGCATATACATGAGATAAATGACTTGGGTGCGAAGCAATGTAATTAAAATGCAGAGCAGGTACTAAAATAAAAATTATATGCAGTTCTCTACAATTGGATGGAAAACTTGCAACTCTTGGTAGTCATAGCTAGAATAGCCAATAGTGAGACAGTCAGTGAGTTGTAGTTCAACATTGTCTCAAAAACTACTGGTTCTTCGCCATTGCTCTACAACTATTATTGGTTGAAAGTGAGGTCTATTTCTGAAATGTTGTGAGGTCATTCTATTTACTCAGAAGTGAGTGCCATTGATTTCAGTGAGACTTCAAAATACCAGTTCAGTGCAGCTGAAAACACAAACCCTGCTAGGAGAGGTAGGCCTGAATCATCAGCATGTCCAAGTGAAAATTACGCAACTTTTACAGTGCAATGGAAAGGCACCTATCAGTTTTCTGACTGGACAGGTATCAGCTTTATAGCTGACTTATCCAGGTATGATGACAGCAATTTGTCACAATCTTCTACCAGCAAGCATAGATCTAACTCATTTTATTATCTAACTTTAAGAATTATTTTTGGGAGTCTTTCCTCAGTATGATAACATTTTTAAAATTTATGTTTCTATTCTAGTGAATGACTATGAAGACAGTACCATAACCTATGCAGAAGTCATCTGTAAATGAGAGTGATTCTTTTATACAACAAGGATGAACGTTTAAATTATTCTTTAGTTCCATATTATTTTTATCACTCTTTATCTGTACAACACAGCAGGCAATCCAACATCAGAATACGTATCTGAACACTGATGCAGTTCCCAGAATCTCATTTTTCACCATGCTAAAAAATGTTGGTGGCAAACAAGTTTTGAACCATTCTAGTTCATTTTCAAGATTACAGTAAGAGAAAGATAATGAAAAATAAAAAAATGTGCAAGATATATACAATTCAGAACTATTTTTGGAATAGTTGACTCCCAGAAGAATGCCATGATGGAAATTGAGGCAAGAATATCTAAATATCTACAATCAGACTTTTTTAGACTGGTGCAGGCTTCCTTCCTAAGCTCTGACTGGTAGAAGGCCTTATTGTTGTTGAAAATGGGCAAAAAAACCCAAAACCAATTTGATAAAGTATGGGCTTAAATGGTCCTCCTTGAGATGATAATTTCCCTTAACATATCCATCCCAATTTCTATTTAAATCCAAATTACAGGCAAAAACAATATTGAACCTTTGAAATATTTTTTTTTAAAAAAAACAAGATATTAAGCTTGGAAATGGAATGTTAACATATTTCTGTTTATGTTAGACATAGATCTGTAATGTTATAAACTCACCATTGTAACTAGTTCTACACATGCAAGATTTTGTCTGCTTTACCTTCCCATCTCATGGAAAAAAAGGCATATTTCAGCAAACAGAATTACATACCGGTATTAGAGAAGACATACTTGACTGAACATATTCTGATCTAAAGAAGTATCATCATTCAGAAAGAAAGGTTCAAAGTTGCCTTTATTTTTTAAAAAATCAAGTATTTTTAGCTGAAGACATATATTTGATTAAAAAGTCCTTTAATCTAGATATATGCATCGTTTCTTTCAAAGTGGTATCTCTGCTTCGCAATTGCACCAACCCATTCTCTAGTGTGGCATCACTGATCAGGATTGTGAAAAGCACACCCATTTCATCATACCTATCAACAGGAATAAGAACAAAGAGTCATGGTTCAAGTATATACAGCAGCAGCAATACCAGGCATATATATTAGGAAAACATATTTTAGGAATAAATTAGGGCAGAGGTCCCCAACCACCAGATTGCAATCCATTACTGGGCTGGAGCCTACTCAGAACCCGGCACGTGAGCAGCAGACCAACATGCACACGAAGTTCAACTTCTGCTCATGAAGCCTGGTTCTCTTCCTCCTCCCTGGGCTCCAAAGCTGCAAAGGTTGGGAACCAGTGAATTAGATATGATCCATTTAAATCTTCTAAATTACTTTTAAATTGCTTTAACAAAGAATTGCTTTTCAAATGGAGCCCTGAATTTTCAAAAGACCTAAACTGTAGCTGGAGTTATATTTCACTCCAAACTATAAAATACTTTGTATAAATCTGGTTTAAGTGAGAACTTATCCAAGTGTGATTTATCCAATAAACCACAATTACGCTACTTATTTATTTTGTCAACTCACTAAACTGTATGTTAAAGAATATGATTAAATTCAATTTACAAATAAATGCAGTTATTATTTTTTGTATCTTAATATTAATTGGTTTGCTCAAAGTTGTTTTGACATTAACAACTTGTCAATGTTGTAAATTTTTCAACATTTAGCTCTCAACATTAATTTCTGAATTATGCCCTTTTTTCCCTCCTTACTTTGTATAGAGCTGCTCCAAAGAAGATTGCATGGTTTCAAGATAGCCAGGCCAAACAGAAATCTCATTTTGTAACAATTCTTTGAACAACTCTTGGCACACCTTTGAAAAAAACAACACTTTCTTGAATCATTGAATAAAAAGACAAAATTGTAAAGATAAAAAAATTATATCTGGCACTGAGATTTAAATACATGATACATACGAGGGGTCCTTGGTGCTGAACTTGTCTGCTTTCTTGCAGACGTTTCATTGTCCTAATGAAATGTCTGCAAGAAAAGAAGCAAACACTAAGGGCCCCTCATTTCAACCCTGAGCTACAAATATTATCCATTATAAATACATGATATTTTCTGGGTGAAAGAGAAAAGAAAAAATATCCTTGTGCTAAGATTGATCCATTTCTTCCAATACATTTTATTTTTAATTTTGTACATTTTTTGCAAAATCCAGAAACTATTTTTTGTAATTACTTAAGATTTATTACCATTGCTAGGAATAAGAGCTTGGTGCTCTCAGGTCCCATCCATGACAAGAGGGTCTTATTTTATTAGACTTTGTCTTACAATTCAGGCATTCTGATATAATATCTGTACAATATGATACAGTTCTAATATTGAATATAGGTTTTATGCAAACTAATAACTGAACAGAATTATAGAGAGCAATTGTCTATTCGAGTCCTGGTAGCCAAGAAGCCAAAAATATTGCAAGATGTTAAGAGGAGTAAAAAGTTTTCCATAAGCAATCAGAAGATTTTACAAAATGGATCAAAATCTTACACTGCCTGTTAAAATCAGAATCACAAAATTGGAAATGACCTCATAGATTATGTGGCCCATCACCCTGCTCAATGCTCATCACAGTAGATCCATAGAAATATTCAGCTGTTCTGAGTGGGACTGAACTAAGCAATCTAGCCATTTTCTTAGAGTTAGTTTTTAATAATAAAAATGATATTCAATTTATTTTAGTTACTTGTTTTCCATTTTAGATGCCCCCAAATTAAACCCTATGTGATCAAATGCAGCATAACAATTGGTACAGAAGATTGACAGAACAATCTTTATAACCCTGGTAAACTCGAGTGAGATTAAAAACAGAATGGAGATTCTCTGTCCAGTTTTCCTACACTCACATAATATACNCTGCTGAATCCCACCTCTGATCTCCTGGTTTCTAGCCTGATGCCACAACCACTACACCAAACTAAACAAATAAGCAATAATCAGTGGAATATCAAGTTTAGGATATTTAGTTTATTTAAAATACCACCATACTTAATGAAAGATACTCATTAATATGATTTTCTTCTTCTTCTAGCACCAGAAAAGAATCTAGCTCTTTTCATTGTGCTTCCTCTCATTCTCCTGCTGCTATTGATTGCAGCAGTTGTCACAATTCGACTATTGATCTTTCCTTGGTGTAAGGCAAGTGAGTATTGGTTGGGCTTGGTTTATAATTACACTTCTTTTGTCAGAACTGTTTGGTATTCTACAAATTTAGAGAATAGAGCATAATACTTCAAACCTATTACGTATCATGAGCTTTAATTTCCTTTACTTTTCAATTAAATTTAAATTAAATTTAGTGTACACAATTATCATATGTTCAGGCAACTTGATTGTTTTGTGTTGCCTTCCAGTGGGTTTCCAGGTGCAATTCAAGATGTTGATGATCACCTATAAATCCATATAGTGGAACCACATGCTGCAGAAGGTCCTCACATCTATAATTTAAATTTAATTAAACTAACAATAACATTAGCAGTTAGACTTATATACCGCTTCATAGTGCTGTGCAGCATTCTCTGGGTGATTTACAAATGTCAGCATATTGCCCCCAACAATCTGGGTCCTCATTTACTGACCTAGAAAGGATGGAAGGCTGAATCAACCTTGAGCCCTGTCAGGATCGAACTCAAGTGTGGGCAGTTTCTGCCTGCAATACTGCATTCTAACCACTGTACCACCAGGAGTCCTTTGTGGTATGATATATCATAAATAGGATTAACTATTAATATAATTTAAGGAAGAAATTAAATTTTGGAGTTTAACCAGCTTCTATAGTCAAAACTTTGAGAGATCACATATGGCCTTGAAGACTCAGATTGAGATCTCTGGTTTTCAACTGGGAATCCCAGGATTTCATTTGATTTCATTCCATTGTTTCATTTGATTTCATTTATATGGCCACTCAGCTCACCAAACAAACTTTGGGAAGCTAATATGGCATTAAAAAAAATAAAAATCAATCTACTGTATTTGCAGAGGATTTAGGAGGCCTGCAAAGTGCTCCTGGGAACTGGAGAGAGCAAAAATGAGTGAAAAATGGGCCATTTTTTTGGTCGTTTTTGCCCCCCCCCCCCAATAATTCTAAAGGTTGAAGACATAGAAGAAAAAAACTCTGGAAGTTGCAGAGGGACTAAAGCAAGTGTCACCTTCATTTTTCCCAGCAGGGGCATTCTGAGAAAAAAGAAGCTATCTTTAAGAACCATCCTGCTTTGTAAATATTTGCAATTGTTATTTTTACATTATTTTCAACCTTTAGAATTATT